TTTATCGCAGTTCGTCTGGAGACCATATTTGGGTTTGGGCCATGATCCAAATCCGGAGGATGCAGCAACTTGGACCGCAAAGACTGCAATCATTCGGTTCAACATTGTGGAGATACACCACAACGACCGTGTGAAGATGCAGTTCGGAATGCATCAAGAGATACCAAGTGATCCAACTTGTTTGTCCCCATGGCATCTTAAAAGGGTCGACGCCCAGTGGGGTCTTACCAACTGAAAAGAATTCGCTCCGGAGTGGTGTAAGATGTGGCAGAGGCGTCACCGCTATGTCTTGCAATTCCCGGTTTTCCTTATTCAAGGTAATATGCGACACTCGGATCAATATTTATCTTGGTACATGTCAGTTAGTAACCTTGAAATGCACGTGTCTCATCCAAGGTACTTGGTTGACCCACGCACACAATGGGCACAACCCTCGTTTCCCCATCAACAAACCCAAAACCCATCACCCTCCCACCAACCCCTAAGAAGAAACAGACCCGCAAACACCCAACCACAGTCCCCACCACAACACAATTACACTCAAATGCCACACAACCAACCACAATCACCACCACACTACCAATACCCCGATATGCCTCACACCCAACCACAATACCAATCCCAATACCAGCACACCCGCATACCCCACACACAATTTCAGTCTTCCACATATCCCAATATGGGCCCCTCAACATCTAGCCTTAGCCCTGATATGGGAATGTCGGAAGATTACGAACAAACTGACCCAGCCTACCATCAACCACAATATCACCAAACCACCCAACATCCTCAATACCAAACACCCCAAGATCCATTTCCTTTCTACACACCGTACTCAGACGATCAATGCTACAGACCCACTATGGAACCCCACCCACCGCCAACACGACCAAACTTTGAGGGTATGAGTAACTGACTATACCAAAGCAGATCTTCTAGATATGGAGATCTGACTGATTTTATGGATCCGGACCGCATTGACTTCGCTGGGCCATCGACCTTGCCGCAGCAGGAAACGCGACGACACCCAGCACGAGAAAGGAGAGGACGGGGATGCGGAACCGGGGGTCATTACCGGGTTCCGAGGGATCACTGACTTATCTGTTTTTTTTTCCTGTATTTTTTTATCCATTTTTTTAATCTGTTTTTTTATCTGTTATTTTAATGTAATACAGTTGGATGTAATTATTTTTTTTAATAAAAAGTCTATTTTGTTGATCCTGTGTCCAACACGCAACGCACCGGATAAAAAAAATTTCAATTTTTGCCCTAAAAATACACCTAGGCGCCATCTCACTTGGCTTAGGGCATGCCCTAAGCACATAGGCGCCAAGTGAGATGGCGCCTCCCCTTAAAATATAGGTGCATGCACCATTTTAGATGGCTCCTCCTTTGGGGAGTCATCTGAAACATGGTTATTTGCGTATTTTTTTTCGAAACGCGGTTATTTGCGAAATATTATTTTAATACTTGGTTATTAATAAAAAAAATTCTACAAAGGGCTTTATTGGCCATTGGTAGCCATTACCAAGGAGCTATTTATCGAGGGTCCCGTAGTCGTCGGTACGTCCTAGATAATTTATCTTTACCTACGGATTTCTTTCATTATAGAGGGCTTTTGGTCTTAGGTATTAACAAAATTTCTTGTAGTGCTTGATGTGTTCGTTGGGGTCGATAGTTCCGTCATATGTTCTTAAATTAGGGAGCTTCTCCAGTCCAACAGAAAGAGGAGTTTCCAAGATTTCACGCGACAACAGACTGCGAGGATTGTCCTCGTCACTTTAGTATAGTGATTGCGGTAGAGAATAGTTTTTCTTTCTTCGTCGAGGAATATCATCTCGACGGGGTGACAGACTTCTTGAATGACCTTTTGGCTTGGGCGAAGGCGTGTGATGATTCTCTGATCGTTGGTTGTCCTTGGTCTTCTTGGTAACCGAGGAGCGTCGGTCTTTGTGGGATGAAGTGTGATTGCGTTTTTGATAAACGAAACCTCTGGTTTTTCCAGTGTTGTGCGACGACTAAGTTGTTGCAACGATGGGATGCGAGACCCACGTCGTCGGTGTCTCCGCGGAGGGGATCTTGAATAACTCCCTCTTTCCAATGTCCCGATCATGTGGTTCTACTGGAGGATCAGAGTGTTGATTTGATTGAGTGATGCGAGCAAGGTTGCCATAGCTAGGTCAGCGTTGGTCGGCAGCGGAACCAGCTAGAAATTCATTGGGGCCACTTCTTGGACTTTATTGGATTTTCTAGTTTCCAAGTACTCGAAGTCTTCGTCCTCTACCTCGTCGTAGGAAGGAGACGCGGTGTGACCGTCTCTCCTCAGGAGAACAACTTCTTCGAGGAATGGTGTTTCTTCGTCGTTGTCAATTTTGCGGACGGGTGAGATGATGGTTTTGTGAGCAAGGTTGTCATTGTCTTGACCGGCCATGATGGAATCTTTAGTGTTTGTTTTGATCTTCTGATTTTCAAGGAAAAGAAAGATGGGGAAACAAGTTTCCCACAGACGTCGCCACTGACCTTACCGGTGATCAGAACATGTAATGGGTCGGTAATTGCGTATGTAGTGTTGAAATAACAGAGAGATGAGGGTATACCTGCAAGTCACTCTAATGTTCAAGTAAGCAAGAGTGCAGAGATACTTGAGATAAAAAGGGTCTTAGAATAGAATACCTGACCCTCACAAGTATGAGGGTATTTATAGTGCCCCCGACACTTAGTCATTAGTTACTATTATGGGCTAGGCATCCAAAATCCAAGCCTAAAAATAGATAACTGCCAGGATTCCTGCGTGAAAGAAGGAACGAGCAGCTCGTGCTCGACACCCTGGGAGAAGTGTCTCAGATCTCGCGAGTTGGATGTCAACTAGTCGTTATCACGGGCAGGCATGATTGTGGCCAACTATGCGAGATCTGTGAGGTCGTCTAGTCGTGTGCTTTCAGTCGAGGAGCATGTGGGAAATACCTTTTGCTGGTCTAAATGGATTGAGCCAATGATATTGGACTGTCCTCGATGAAGGATTGGATTGGACCGTGCCTGACCACTGATCCAGTCTAGAACAATAAGAATTTAAGAAATACATACCTTATCCTTCACAACACTAAACAATGAAATACAAAATTGACCAGGATTCTCACACAATATGACTCATTCAAGTTCAAAACTTTCTTCACATTGCTTTTCCTTCTTCTACTTAATTGGTTTTCATTATTCTTAAGTTATTTTCTTTGTTAGAATTTGAAATGAAAAATAAAGGCACAAAAATGGAAGTGATAATGTTTATGTTTTAGTTAATTTTGTGATTCATGTTCTAAATAGTCATTTGTATGTCACACCCATTATATAAAGCCTTGTTTCTATAAAAGCAAATATATAAAAAGTCAACACAATATATTGTGCCATGATTTTTGCACAAACAAATGCCACAAGGACAAGAAACAAAGGAATTCCGACAAATCAGACATGTTTATGATTTAATAAAGTTGTTGGTTCTAATCTAGTGTGGCCACCACATGATATGATCTAATAAATTGTTCCAACTAATAACTTATAATCTTTGTTCACTCTTAGTTTTAAATGAGGAACTTCATAAAATCTTCACCGTTACATGTTTTTTCTCTATCTGTAATCCTTAATATCATTATTTTTTTACAGTAAAAATTTCATTTATTAGATGAAAAAGAGAGTATAAATATGGACAAAGATATTGTGTTAGGACATTTTCCAATCACAATTTAACAAACAACACTAATAATTAAATCAAATAAGCAATGAACAACAAAAACTTTTGAAAAATTAGAAATCAATAGACAGGTACCAAATCCAAATCCTTAATCCAAACAATCATGTAAAATTCTTCCACAAGAGCCAAATGAGTTTTGGAAGCACAATATTTAAATATATCAAGTTACGGATCATTTCTTTAGCTTTATCACGCATAAATCGAATATACGGGTTCACAATATTGTTTAAACTTACAATTTATGATTGAATCAATTGTTGACCGAAAGGATGAGGTTGATTTGCATCAGCCCTAAAAAGAATCTCCCTTGAAAACAAATCTCCTTCATCCAAGCTTTTTTGAGGCATTCAACAAATACTTTGAGCACAAACTTACAGCAACCTAAACAACAAAACAAACCACACAAGACACAACAACAACCACAACAACACAAATATAATAATAGTACCCAATACAAGAATACACACACATAAACTCAGAAAATCCAAATGTTTTAGTGGTGGAGACCACTTTCCATGACCAAACCACCTTAGTCCATCGGTTGATGGAGATGATTATGAAGTTACAAATGTTTGGTGGTGGAAGACAGAGAGGAGGGACAACTTGATAGAGGTTGAAGGAAGAAAACTATGTGGATCTAACACGGATGAGTGTTTCGAAGGAATGAGAAGGGAGGGATGAAAACTTACAATGGAGGAAAAACCACCATTGAAAGGAGAATAGCCACCATACTGACAGTGAGTAACTCTGATGACGGAGGATGAACCCTTACAGAAGAGGAGACATCGTCTCTTGATAGAAGAGAAAAAACCCTAATTTTAACGAGAGAGAAGAGCTTTTCTCTCTAAATATTTTATCTAATTTAAGTCGTTAATATCATTACTCATTATTAAATAATATTATGAGTAAATATTTTATTATATTTTGTATTTACTTATGAATAAATTCCAATATAGTTATAATTTTTTTCCAAAAAATACTACATATATTTTTATTTTAAAAGAGGGAACATCAATATATTTTTGTGGCTGTTACATTACCAAATTAATAACTACTAAAGCTAATGTAACATGCGGAGAGCCATTGAAACATTGTCAAATATAACAAACAATCCAATTTCATTTCCACCACAATTCTTGCAATGTCACATTTTCTCCTTTCATCTCTCCAAATCCAAGAACAAAAAAAGGAAAAGAAACACCTCTTCAAAGTAATAAAGAAAATTTAATAACAAAAAATTGTGAGAGTGAAAGAGAAAATGGGTTCATATACCTTCTTCTCTTCCATTCTCTATTTTTTCCTTCTAGCTACATTGGTCACATCTTCTCCATTCCTATCAAGTACATTAATTTCTTCCATGTTAAACCATTTTTCTGTCATACAAATAATGTGCATTTGATAAATTATGAATGTATAGATAATGAAATTTGTTAAGATTTGTTTAATTTGGTTTCAATTCTTTTTGACACAGATGACATATTTGATTCTGGTGCATCCACTGGTCGTTCCCTCTTACAAGCTAAGAAAGGTAATTAAAAACTTTTATGCATATATTTTTTATATTTTATTTCTAGTTTTATCTTATATAGGTTTCTATGTATTTGTTTGTGGTTTTCATTCATCTTTAATATGAGATTTCTTTTAATTCAAATGCAAAGTGCCCTAAATTATATTGGTTAAATTGATCATAACTTGGGTTTTTTACTAATTAAAATATGATAATCTTATTTCATTAGCAATATGATTATAATTTGGTATTTATTTTCATGACGGTGAAATTGCTGATACCACAATAATTTTGAAACAAAAAAAATACCTTTAAAATGTTAAGATAATCATAGTAATATTATGATTTCATCAAATTCGTCGTGATATGAAACATACACTTAAAAAAATATTTAGGCAAATAAGACTTATTTGTGTTATATTTAACCTTCTCAATGATTTAATTGTAAATATATCATAATGTTGCTTATGATACACTTCACTTAGAAAACCGAAATCAATCTTAGTAAAGTGTTACTCAAACCGAATTGAACTGTTTTATTTTATTTAAAATAAAATCGAACTAAAATAATGAGTTTCGTATATCAGTTTGGAATTTCAAACTATACCAAATTATTAAAAAATATATATTTTTAAACCGAACTATTTGTTAAACAATCAATTATTATACTTTTTTTAAAATTTTTTAATAAAATATTTTAAATTTGTTTTTAAAATTTTTCATTTTTAATTTTAGTTCGATTCGATTTTATAGAATCATTTGCATGACACGGTTCAATTCACTAACCGAACATAACATAACAATTCAGCTATTTTAATTGTGCAGCTTGCACGGTTGATTTTGAGAGCAAAAACTTCACAATCCTAACAAGTCAATGTAAAGGTCCACAATATCCTCCAAAGATTTGTTGTGGTGCATTTAAAGAATTTGCTTGTCCATTTGCTGACAACATTAATGACTTAACAACAAATTGTGCTGAAGTTATGTTTAGTTACATAAATCTTTATGGAAAATACCCACCTGGATTATTTGCTAATGAGTGCAAAGAAGGGGAATTAGGTCTTGAGTGTTCAGATGTTAAAAATACTACTTCTAGTAGTGTTCTTGTGCATGCTCCTAACACTATGTTGGTGGTTTCATATGTTGGTTTTATTGGATTTATTTTCCATTTGTTCTGAAGACTGTGAAAAAAGAAAAATGAATTATTGTAAGAGTATGAGTGAGATGCACCTTTCATGTGTGATGGTGGAGAATTTTCATTTTAAGAACAAGCAAGAAAAGTATATTAATTATTAATTCTTATAGATGTTCATGTTTTGTTTTTGTGTACTTGATTACATTACAAAGTACAAGGTGTGGATTCAAAAAATGAATTCCCTCACATCAAATATTGATTGTAGAAAAGATTATAGTTATCTAAATTTTATCAATAGTTAAAAATGTTTTATTTATTTATTTATTTATTTGTCGGATAAGTGAAATTCAGTGTTTAATTTTCAATTTTATTGTAAATTAAGTTTTATATAAATTTTGGTTAAATTTAATTTAAGAGGATGTTGCTTTTGAAAAAATCAACTTCACTCCAAGCATGCAATTGCCTATAAAAACAAGCACGTTGTTCTAATACAATAATTAGTAAAAGTATATAAATAATTAATTCTTGAGATACGTCAAGTGGTAAATTTGTTTTGTTATGTTGTACACATAATTAATTGTAAAACTAATTATTATCAGTATCATAATTCATTTTTAAAAAGTTGTCCACATCGATTAAATCGCCATTGTTAGAAAAAAAAAACTTTAAACATCCTTTAATTTTTTTGCATGACTTTTAGTTCTTATTTTTAGTATTATATGTTCTTACAAATTACAAAAAGTTGTCTATTTTTTTATAAAATTACAAATTTGACACTGCATGTCAATATTGTTGGGGAAAACACAGTTTGGAGAAAGAGAGAAAATAGTAATTAACAGAGAGGTATGGAAATGAAATAGAAGGATTGAGTTGTATTGAGTTTGGTAGTTTTATATATACAATCCATGTGTTACTTGTTCAGCAAGTAACTACCCATAACAAATTAAAAACAAATAAATAACCAACACTAACTAATTTCTCTTAGCATAATAACTTAATAATGTGACAGTTTGGATTACACTCAACATCCCTTACCCACTTTATGACTTGCAATTTTTTGGTGGCTTTAGTGAGAACATCAGCCACATTTTTATCTGTTGGAAAAATATACAACTTCAAGTTTCTCTTTCGTGACTTGATCCCCTAAGAAAATGGAATATGGTTTCTATGTGCTTGCTCTTTCCATATGCAATTGAATTTTTGGCTAGGTTGATTGTTGACTTGTTATCTATCTGCAGTTTGATTGACTCTTCTACCTTAATCACAAAGTCGTTAAACAATGATTGGAGCCAATTTGCTTGACATGAAGCAGCATCACATAGAACATATTCAACTTCACAATTGTATAAAGCAGTCACTGGCTGCTTCCTTGAGAACCATGGCACAAGTGTTTATAGGAATTTGAAGATGTGTCCAACTGTACTTCTCTTATCAATATTGTCACCATGCCAATCAGCATCAGAAAAACCAATTAGCTTGAATTTGTTGTTGCCTTTGCCTAGTGGGAATAGGAGACTATTATTGTGGCGGGAAAATTTGAGATTATGCTATTGATTAACATAACTCAGAAAAGCAAGATTCGCCACCGAACTTTATTCACTACTGCGAAAAAGGCATTTAAAAACGGTTGAGAAATATATATAATTACGCAGGTCCTTATGTTGTGATGTAGAGTGTTGCTGTAAATGTGTTACTTACTGTTGTACCCCAAATTTTTCCCTCTCATTTCTCAAAGGATCAACCTGGACCCTCAGGTTTGCTTCCATCCAATTTCAAGCCATGAATTACAAATTTTCCAAGAAAGCCATTCACAAGGGCAAAATGGTCATTTGCACACTAAAAAGTCAAACTTTGACTTTTGGATCAAAATCAAGCTTCAAGAATCATATTTTGTCAAGACACGTTGAAATATGAAGTTTGTTTCATCAAGAAATTCAAAAGTCAAAATTCTAAATACTTAGAATTTTTCTAAGTGTTTAAGAAATATGACAAGCTCAAAACTTCTGTTCAAATTATCACCATGATGCAAGCTGATTCTGAAAGAACTTCTGGCACAAAAATTATAGATTTCAATAAGATCTAAAACATTGTAGAATAGAACTTCCCCTGGAAATGCTGGAATTTCAAGTTATAAATGTTCAAAGACACGTCCATGAAACTAAAACACTCAACAAATTCTGAACACTTTCAAGACAGAATTGGGTCAAAACTTCTGGTCCAATTTTCATAAAGGTTCGGTCAGAGTTTACAAGGGCAGTTCAAAAAAAAGGTTTACAAAGCGTGCTACAAGCTTCCTGTAAAGTATGAGAGTTCCTTCAGAACATACTGGAGCAAAGAGATACAAGGATCAGAAGTTGGATGCTTATTCTAAATTATGCTGAAGCTGAACCTCTGACCCAGAATTAAGCAATGATGCAAAATCTCACATTGCAGGATTTCTGGTTTGATAAATCTCATCATCATTTAATGCTCACAACTACTTTTGATTCTTTATCCAAAGGATTTCCCCACGTGTGGCATAGAAGTACCATTGTTGTCCTTGAAAAGTAGATTTTATACAAAGTTTATGCTGGGCCCATGCCTCGCTTTTGCTTCTGAGGATACTTTTCCTAAAACCATGCTTACAAATCCAGCTTAGGCACGACTAAAAGCTGTTAACCACCTTACTTTGTGCCTTGAACCATACTTGTTTGAACTTGCTTCAAGAACAAGTCAGCGCCTAACATATGATGGCTATACTTTTGATTTCTCCAAGCTACAAGATTTTTGCCTATAAATTGAGAGCCATTGGCAACGATAAAAGGGTCGAAAAATTAAGAAAGAAAAAAGCCTTGAATCCCTGCTAAAATTCCAAGAGCCCGAAGCTGCAACACAAAATACAAAATTTGTTAACTTTTGATTTTCTTGCATTCAAACTCCATCTGTTCTCAAGTGTTTCTTGACTAAAACCATCCACACAGTTTCTGGTTCACATATTAGAAGCTATCCTAACTTTTGTGTTCATACTGCAATACACTCTCCATCCACCTCCATCTCAAAGAAATCAGAACATTACCCCTTGACTGTTTCAGAAGTTGAAAACTTCCAGCCTGCTGAGCACGTGAAAAAGCTGCTTAGAATATTAACAGAGTTCAGGACCAAACTCCAGTTCACGGAGTCTTTCCCAGCTGCAAGGTAAGCTTCTACTGACTCTCATCATATTACTTAGGCATTATCAGATTTGCATGTTCAAAAAAAAAAATACAATGTAGACATCATATTTCTGAGGTTGTACGTATTCTGAGGTTTCACGTATTTATATGCCTAAGTAGGGAGTAAATTAGTTCAGAACTTCTTAAGGAAATTAGAATTAGCAGATTCATGGTTGCCTCTGATTTATAGTTCTGATGCTTCTTGTTTCTGAAACACTGTGAAACCAGGCATAACTGTTATATCCGCATCTTCTGTTCTGTTGAGAAATGACTAAGTTGCAGATGTTCTGACTAGCATGGAGAGGGAGACCAAGTTCTGTCAGTAGTATCAGAACTTCTAAAATTTTCCTGGCTCCCAGCGGACCCTGAACTTCTTCTGACTTTACCTATTTTTACTAATATGATCTCTGTTTTGCAGCACAGCAGAGTCAGAACTTCTGATCTCCTTTAGTTAGCAATACGCTGATTCTATTTTCTTTTTCCTCACTATTTTTGTTATCACTTCTTATTTCATTGATCAAAAACACCAAAAACATTTTACATTTTACATGCTTTATTTTGTTTCTTAAAATAAAAAGATCAAAAATATTTTCTTAAACAAAACTTATCTCTTTTCTGAAACAAAACAAGTCAATTTCACATTTTCTTGTACATTCTTATTCATTCAATGTGGTTGTAATAGTAACTTAGGATTTAATTTTATTTGAAATCCCCATTTATAAATATGTACCCCCATCCCCTAATGCTTGTAATAACGTAGAATATCTATTTTATGCGCTTTTTATTGCTTTCATATATTATTAGTAATTAGGGTGTGTATGGTAAGACATGAAATTGACAAGTAGATCACCCTAATCAAGACTAAAATGCATGTAATCAAACACACTTAAACACTAGCACCCTTAGGGTAATCCCACCTTGTTGCCTATTGGAAAAATAGTCATGTCCCTCGAACATGGGCGTTTAGCAAAAGACCCTCGATAAAAGATCGTAGTCCCCCGATGACCCTCGATGTTGCCTTCGATAAATGATCTAGTCCCTAAAACGAAATTTCTAAAACGTTCCATGGGTTTCCTTCTACGACTATACAAAAAAGTTACCGCGTCCGTCCCTTCACATCCAACGATAGGGCTTCTTACCAAAACAATGGTAAGATAGCAACGTCTAAAGGAGGGGGAAAATAACACTTAAGACCTTTGAGTAGGTAGATTCGCTCCTATTTGCTCGCTTGCTCTCAACAAAAACATTCTATACACCAACACTCTCACTTTGAAACATTTTCAAAAGATAATACTTTGTATGCGTTCTTATAGAGACGAGAATCATTACAAAGACACATTTTCAAAATCACTTTCAAAAAACACATCTCACAAACACTTTCTTGGAAACATTTTCGAAACAAACACTTTGTATGCGTTCTTATAGAGACGAGAACCATTACGAAGTTACATTTTCAAAATACTTTCAAAAATCAAACCATCACAAGCACACGTTCAAACAAAAGCAAGTGATCTAGAAAATAACTAAGAGCCCATGGAAAACCATGGATGAAAAGGGTGCTAATACCTTCCCTTTTCATAATCTACCTCCCGAACTCAAGAAACAATCTCAAAGGTCTTTCCTATGCTTTTTCATCTTTCCTTATTGGATAAAAGAAAAGTCGGTGGCGGCTCTTGCTAACCGCAATATTTGCGATCAAACGCAAAACCCTCAAGTCAGTTCTCCCACCGTATCACACTTACAATCACGGTCATGTGACCGTTGTGGTATACTGGAAAGCATGCATGATATCACAACGATTAATCATCTCAAACATTGTAATAGACCTAAAGGTCGCAGGTTTGATTCTCAA